AACAGCTGAAATTTTGAAAAGGACGACACATGGATTTCCTCAGATTTCTAGCATGATCAGTACTACAAGAGGTTGAAACTGTCTTTTGGCAAAATTTATAGCATTTTATAGGGCCAGGAGACTAAACTGCAAAATCAGAAAATAAAAGTAAATTTCACAATATTTTCCCTAGAATTAAGAATATAATTAGACCCTCTGTGGGGATATAAAATGAAATGAATAGCAAAGCAAAGAGTATTAGAATAACAGAGGTATACTGATGGCCTACCCTTGGCGCACTCCAGTTAAGCTTAGGAAATACACTGCCCCCCAGGGAGTTGATAGCTTCTTGGACTTTGGTGGTAAACTCAGGAAATTCCGGTGCCTACAGAGAGAGAAAAAGTTAATTGGGCAAGTCAATATCACCACAACAAATATAGAAAACAAGATCAAAATCTCAAGGTTAAACTATTTAGGGTGTTAAAAATAATTTAGAATACAAATTACTATCAGAATTCCGAACCCAGGTAACTAAAGTCAATGATCAAATAACATTTACCAGAAATGGGGAAAAGTGCCTAAATGCCACTTTCCTAAACAATTAAAGCCCACAAAACTAAAGAGACAGATGTTACAAGGCATCTGGAGATGTGAAGAAGGAATGAATGGTTTTCTTAACACTTACATAAAACTAGTATTTACTTCTTAAGTGGAAAGAGACAGTTGGAATTGCACCTGTGCATATACTCCAACTCTCAGAAATAACATCTCACATTTAAAGGCCCAGAAGACTTTCCATTAGCAGGAAAAGAATCTTGGCCATATCCCCAAAAGGCTTCATGAGAATAAGAAATAAATTATGTGGTTAACTGTATTTAAACACTGCTATTTCCAGACAAGTTTTAATAATAAACAAGACTCAAAAATAGGATCTTAGTGAAGTTTAACTGTGCTTTCCTTTTCAGTTGATTTTAAAATGCGTATTTTATATAAGCAAGTAACCAAAACATTCTAAGTGTTGTTTCAGCCAGGAAGTAAACAAAAATACAGTTGTGAGGAAACCTAAACGTGATTAATATTGTGCTCTGCCTCAAGCCTGTCACTATGAAAGGGGCACACAGACATAAAGTAGAAAAGAGAACTGAGTAAAAGAGGTCAAGCGGAGCCTGCAGGACACAGAACACTAAAGTATTAAGTCTCTACAAAGTCACACTATCCCTTTCTATTTGCTGCCCCCTGCTGGGCAGATGCAAGTTCTGAAAAAAATTCCAGTAATAACAAGTTCTTCCATAGTGGGGGAAAGTTAGATGAGGTCTAGAACTAGCTAACTACAAAAATAAATCAAATCGCTTATGCTGATCCCCAAGGTCTAACCTAATTATACCAGAGAGAAAACTATGACAAGAGTCTGGTAAACAAACCAAAATGTGTAAGTTTAGCAGCTTTGAGGAATAGGCTAGTGAGTAAAGATGGGAGAGATCAAGGGCAGGCCAATGACCTTTCCTTCTACAGATGTACATGACCTCTAGACTGGTTAGTAGTGTCTTTTAGTTATTTGACAGCCTGCCACTGTATCTACCTTATGTTTGACTTCTTCAGCTTAGACACATGAAATTAAACTCTAGCAATTTGAAGGCTTTCAAAACAAGTAACAGCCATGAGTCCTTTATTTTCCATTCGCCTCTCGCCATCAAAAGGAATTATGATTTATGCTAAGCCAATAATTTCCTTATAATCCCCTGAAGGTGCTGATCTGGCTCCCCGAGACAGCTATCCAGAAAAACCCTTACCTAAGATCTGCATTAGCATTAATTTCAATCAACGGCATAGTTACACGAATTTCAAAATGCGATTCAATCGTCAAAGATAAAACAATTTTCCTAGCCCCTGAAACTTCACACGTAAGGATTGCGTTAAATTTATGTATTACTTTTTAAAAGAGGCGATTGATTCCCTAAATCCTCAATAATCAACTTTAAGAAATTCTGTCACAAGGATCCTAAAACCAATTTTTTTTTTGTCTTACAGATACATTTATTCATGCCACAAAGGACACAGCACTTCTGTAAGTACACAGCGATATTCGATGGTTCCATCTATCAGAGCTTGTAAAATTTATAGGCGGACTGATGTTCCACCTGATGTGCACACCACAGAGAGCTAATGATGGCCATGGGCAGGTGCAGGACTTGATCCTTTCAAAGCTTTAATTCTTTTATCAGCGCTCCTGATTTTGTAAATGATGAAGCTCATCAAGCCTATGCCTACCCAGATCTCCTGGTAAACCTGGGTGTAGTAGGGCTTTATGGGGACCCAAACATTTTTTATGAAGCTTTGAAACATCTTGCCACAGAACGTGTGGCTCAGACCGCCCCAACCTGCACAGCGGCCTCGGAAATGTTACCGAACTCACAGGCCTAAAACCAACTGAAATTATAAAAAGTTTATGCATTCTTGAGAAAAATTTGTGCTTCAGTGGAAGACTATGTATTGTCTCCATATAGCCCTCCCTACTGGGTTACCTTCCAGCTAGAATGTGAGCTATTTTACAACTTGGTAGACTGCAGATAAACAATAACAATGAAAAGTATGTGAAAATTCTATCCTGATAGGAATCCAGTTGTCTTCTCTTCTACCCTCAAGGAAGGAAAAATCAGTTCTGCCTCACTTGTATATTCATTTCAATATTCCTAATCTACATCTGTCTGTTCTTTGGATTCTCTTTGAACGTTATAACATCTACCTGGTTTCCTCATGAGTTAAATAATACCTTTGACATGTGTTAAGGAGTTTTATATTTATACAGAGTAATGATTCTACCTGTTTCTGAACATTATCTTGTAACAGATTTAACAGGAACCCTTTAAGCTTGTAGCTCAACTACTCAAATTTAAATTTGTATAACACCTCAGTTGTCTGGGAAAAGGTTCCATTCTAAGTGGGATAAATCATATCCATGCACCTTTTGTGACCTGGACTTATCTATCTGTCCAACTTTAGCAACCACTACACACCTGTACCACATCCACTCAGAAATTTAAAAAATGTTTTTAAATAATAAAACACTTTAAATATACGAAAAATATATACCTGTGTTCCTGGATCCAAATACTCAACAATTTGGCATATTTGATCCAGATCCTTAAGTTTCTTAAGGGAAAAATCAGTACACTACAAATGAAGCTCTTTACCTCTTTGCTCTCCCTCTAAGCCTTCCTTCTCCCCACAGGCAACCACCATGACCACTGGGCATATTTTTCTATAGTCATGATTTTATACTTAGGATACATGTCTGTCATTAAATACAACATTTTAAAATTTTAACATAATTGCTCTCTGTTGTGATGTATCTTTCACGACCTTGACATTTTTGAAGCGTACAGGGCAGTTACTTGACATGATTTCAAAAATGCTGAGTTGGTTGGATGTTTCCTCGTTCAGGTTAGGCACTTTTGGCAGGTACTGTGTCCTTCTTGGCACATGACATCAAGAAGTACACAGTGTAGGTCAGTCCATCCTGACAAAGTTAGCTTTGATCACTGGGCTGCCAGGTCTTTCCACTGTAAAGTTACTGTTTTTTCCTTTGTAACTAGTAAATAACTTGGGTGGAGATGTCTTGAGAATATGCAAGTATCCTCTTTCTCATCAAATATTCATCCACTAGTTTTGAAATCTATTCCATCAATTATTATTATGACAGTTGCCAAATGGTGGTCTCTAATTCTATTATTTCTTCTACATTTATTAGTTGGTCCCTTTTCTGCTCCATTTATTTAATTTAATCATTTATTTATGTCAGTATGGATTCATGGAGTCTATTTTTAGCCAATGATTATACCCCATTACTTTCGTTGTTATGATGCTCAAATATTTGGCCAGTAGGAACCTATTCAAGCTGGCTTTGGGTTCCTTTTTGTCACATGCCCATTATTCTTGGATTACTTCCTTACTTTCTGACACACAAGTTGTTTCAGACCCATTTTTACTTCCCCACCTCCAGTCTTGAGTTTCTCCAAGTAGCTTAGATTCCTTTTCATGGAGAATGATACTTAGAAACCAAGGTTGGGGCACTAAGGACACTCACTGCTACCATAACGTTCTATGTCACTGCCTCTAGACATCAGTGAACAGAGTTTGGTAAACAGGCACATATATACACATACATATTATTCATTTCTGTATCTACTTATCTGTGTTTAAAAATATGAGTTGATATTGATAATCCTTACCACTTTTACAGTGCAGATAAAATGTTACTTCTCACTCTTAAGTGTGTTTTGATCCCTCAGTTGTATCTGTTCCCTACGTTCTGACAGCACTTTGTCCTCTCCTCCCAAACTGGGGCTTTCCCCACTGGTTTCTATACTCCCTACAGCAGGATTTTTTTTATCCTTATTTGCTTCACAGAACCCACTACAGTACCCCGGATATGGTGTATAACTAACATGTACGTTGAACTGAATGGAATGTTCATAAAAGGAGAATGACTAACTCTTATGATATCCAGAGTAAAATAAAACATGCAAACTTTTCCTTTCCGAGTATGCTGGCATGTTCTCTATCAGTTTAGGCATCACTGCTTTTTGTCTTCTACCCTGGAAACCACAACTCTTTCACTAAAATAAACACAAGTATCTTCCTATTTAGAATTGGATTAAAACATACCTCTCCCCACCAAAAAAAAACAAAAACTGGTTTCCTCTATTGTGCCTTTACATTTACTTGTAGATAACTTTATTAAAACCTTTCTCTATTATCTCACTTACCTACCATATTTTTAGAAATGCATTTTTACTTTACTCATTCCTTTAAAAATGTTTTTATTAAAATATATTTTAAGTTAATTTTGACAACAGCTGCAATCAACTTTCACATTTTTATATAAGCTATTGATTAAAATCAAAAACTACTGTCATTTGAAAGAAACTAATTTTTATACCATTTAAATATACTTGAATAAGTGAATATAGATTTTTCACTTTAATTTAGGTTCCACGGATCTGGGAAACTCAGAGTCTCACTATTAGACTAAATCTCTTCTTTCAGAGATTAAGAGAAACAAGTCAAAGTATCAGTTATACACTTAAAATATTTCCTTGGTAATCAAAGGGAAAAAAAGGGCAGCCATGTTTGCCTGTAAACAACGATACAAGGTTTTTTTCAAAATAATAGAAATAGCCAACACAGAAAACAATATTTGAAAAGGTGAGCAAATGGGAATTTAGAGACACATGCACTGAAACTCTGAAGCACCCGGTGTGGCAGTGAGAGGCTGTCCCCATGCTGTCACTCTGCTCTTACCGTAAGTGTGGCCGTGTTCTCGTCATCTGACCACTGCATGGAGAAAAGGGCAGAAACAAAACATTAAATGTAGACAATGTGCTGAACTTCCAAAAAGCAGTGCTCCACCTAAAAATGACATAAACAAGTGACATCTCCTCCTGAATACAAAGTATATAGAAACTATACGTTGAAGTGAGATTTTTCATGTAATTTCTCACTTTATTGAATAAATGCTAAGATCTAAATGTCAAAACTATTCTGGAGATCACTTAGTCTACAGAACACAGTATTTCATTCTGAACCAACCTGTATTTCTTCTGCCTCATCATCACTGTCTGGCTGAGAACGTGGTGGTGGATCGTCCCTAGAAGAACATAAAACAAAAATTAAGCAAAAAAAAAGGCCTTCGTACCATGCAGTCAATTTCAGGTGTGCTGGGGTTTTAAAAAAATGCCTTAGAACTGTGAGGCGATATTAGGAAAAGTTCATTTTTTGAGACAGAAACTATTAAAAAATCAATATGAAATTAATGAGAGTACATGGCCAATAAGAGATGGCAGAATAAAAACTTTCTGTTCTCTTCTATGAAATCACTATAAACAAGGAAGGGAAAACTTAAACTCCACCTCTGCTGACACGAAGAATCATCCACAATTCTGAGTCCAGTGAATGAAAAAGTGCTGCCAAGGACAAGCAAGATCAAACTGGATGAAAGACACCAGAGGCAACATCCGAGGGGCGGCTCTCCGCGGCTGACGGAGCACCCCGCGGGCAAACCAAGAACTGTTTGTTTGTACAGTGAAAACGGAGCGTGGGCTGGTGTCCGGAACTGCCTGGATCTGGACCGGCACCACAGAGAGCTGTGGGGGAGAGAGGGGAGAAATACTCAGACGCACGCTCTCTGAGGAAGCCAGTGCGTGGAGCATGTGTTGGAAAGGGTCGTGAGCAACCAGTCTCCATTGCCTGAGGGAAGCAAAGACTGAAAGAACTCGAGGGGATAACACTGTACTGGCCCCTCCTCAACACCCAAGTACCTGGGACGAACTCCCTCAGTAGCTGAGACGATTAAGAATCAGAACAAGAGGCAGCACAGGCTCCATACCAAGAAATTACAAGAGGAAGAGAAATGGGGCCTCAGATGGGTTAACCACAGATTTTTATCGATTCCTACATTCCCTCTTGAAACTCCACTAAAATGACAGGAAAGATCCCAAGGAGAAGAAAGATGACCCAAAAGGAGACAACCGTAGAAGATGGCAACCAAAGTTTGGAAAACAGAAAGCCAATAAGAGGTTAACCCAGTGAGCAATGGGTAAGACCTGGAGCCCTGGACCCGAAGTTCTGGGCTCTGAACACGGTGACTTGTGCGAAGTCCATAAAGAGCAGTAAGACTCACCCAGTCTTCATCGTGCACCCCGAGCACCTAATTCTCCTCCGCCTCCATGGGGACGTTCAGATACTAAGTGCTCCTGCGCCTTATGGACAACATCCAAGACACCTCAAATTCATTTACTTCTCCCGCCACCAGTGTCGCCATCCTAGGGCAAGGCCACTATCGGTTCTCACGGGTCCAATGTAACACCCTCCTAACTGGTCTTCAGTTCCCACACAGTAACCACTCACTGTTCACAGACTGAAGTTACTCTCTTGCTCAGAGCCCTTCGGTACATACCTACTGACCACAGAATAAGTTCTAGGATCTTAAACATGACTCCCACACACACTCCCAAGCTGAACCCTAACCATTTCTCCCATGTCATCAAGTCTCGCACCGCTCAGCGCTCCCATGCTCCAACCACGTGACCCTCTCTTGGTTTCATGCATGTCAAGATCTTCCATGCCTCAGAACCCTGCTTAATGTTGCTCCCTCAGCCTGGGAGATTCTTCCCTCCGCCCTTCAACTGACTACCCTACATCCAAACTTCACATCTCAGAGGCTCCTAAGTTACTTCTTCAGGGTACTCCCTGACCCCTCCTTCAATCCTCAGCCCCACCTCCACCCCCAGTAATTTAATACATGAGTGACCTCCCCGCTTCCTGCATAGCACTTATCACAATTTTCACTTATACATTTACTAATGTGTTTAATGTTCAGACTGAGATTCATGATGATGAGAGAAGTTGGTATTTCTTGGGAGGATACAATATACTAGGCATTGGGCTAAACATATTACACATTATCTCTTTTTATCCTTGCCACAGTCTTACAAAGTTAGTTCTACGATATCAGTCACTCCACTGACAGACAAGAAAGGATGGTGGAGGTGGTGGTTGCAGAACATTATAAATGTACTTAATACCAATGAACTGTACACTTAAAAACAGTTAATGTGACAAATTTTATGTTATGTGTATTTTACCATTAAGACAAATTTTTTTAATAATTCTAAGGAAAAGTTATTTCCAACCTATAATTCTATAAAAAAAAAGAAAAAGTGATGTCCTAGCAAGGGTAAGTATTAGGCTATTTTAGAAGGGATGATGAGGGACGAGCAGTAAGATAACATGACTTCTGAACGGAAACCTGAACGAACAAATAGGAACATCATTAAATTCTATGACTCTTAAACTTCTGAGCTTGCACTAAAAAGACTGAAGCATGATAACTTCTTTCATCTACAAATAGAGGAACTACATGAACAGAGAAGGTGGAAATGGGGCCATGGTGGGCTAACTGTGAACAAAACGCTGAGGAATTTACTGAGGCACCCTAGTAAAGCTTTGTTTGCAATGGACTGAATTTTCACCTTAAAAACTGAAAGATCTCGAAGGGTCATAACATGCCCTCTTCCCCACCCCCACCGTGCCTCCTCCCCGTCTCCAGAAGGAATAATTATTATCGTGTCTATTTTCTAAAGGCAGAGATGAAAGGAACTGCTCAATTTCCTAACTAGTACTTATCAGAGGAGGAAGTACTCAAAATTTTGAAAATCTTATTAATGAGGCACCGACAATACATGAAAAGACCAGCACACAATTTTAGCTAGGAAAAAAAAGAAGAATGGTGCCAAAGCTAATGTACTTGTTTTACATGGCAACGGCTCAGATTTAATCAATACAACATTTCTTTATGATAAAGTCAAAAAAATTTTTTTTTGATCTACTTTACCTTCCTGAAACCACCAGAGTTCCATCATCAAGTAAATAATCCTTCACATTCTGAGGAAGTGGAAGAATGACACTAAGAAAAAAAAAAAAAAAGCATTATTTTAAAAGACCAAGCACAAGCAGAGAGAAAAAAATTCCAAACTCAATTAACTTTTGATTTACTTGTTCCTTGGGCTGAACATTTTTTTGGGCTAAAACTTATTTAAATATGAAGTGAGAAATGTTAATGATGTACATTTGGTGGCAGGAGACTATAAAATAAAATAATATGAACAAATATCACGGTAAACTAAATTAGGTTCACAAAATTACCACAACTGTCTCTGTGGTAAAGAAACAAAGGCCAGCCAAATCCAAAGCAGGCTGAATTCACAGTTTGAAAGCAACAAACCCAAAAGAATTCTGAGTACAGGGTTATGTGCCTTTAGGAAATTAGAGACCAGCAGACATTTGCAGCAGCACAGGAAATGCAGCAAACAAATTGGAAGATCAACAGCACCTGGCCACCTTCTGAGAGGGCAGAAGTAGATTCAAGGTTCTGGAAACCAATTCTTTGGTTGGCAACGAGCACGTAAACCGCAGAATTCATGCTGTATGGATGTTTTGGTGGCATTATACTTAATTGACCTCCATAAAGCTCCTTAACTACCAGACTTTAATTTGTTTCAGATCATCATAATTAAGGGACAGCAAAGCCATACGTGAAGTCACTTAAAACTCACGGGATAATTTGTCTTTTACTCAGTAATAAAAACTCATCAAAAAACCCTGCCACCAATACCTAAAAGTAATGCTATTATTTTGATCTTGAGGAGTATATTTTTTTATGTGAAAAAGTTACAGCCTGCTTTCAGGGAGTCAAAAGAACATCACTGACTTATAAATATGCTTCGTTTATTTATTAAATAAGTTTCTTGGCACATTACAGTGGTTTATGTGCACAGAAAAAATTGTTCATGGGCTATTTTGGTTTTCAAAAATAATATCTGATTTCTCAAAGTTATAATTTCACAGTCGAAAGCCTAGTTCTTCATGCTTTTAAAAAAGTTCAACTACCATTTCTTATGCCATTTGTAAATCTGCTAAATTTTAACCAATTTCAAGTGAGCCTTTGAAACTTAAAAGTTGCTTTAAAAGTTTTAATTCTATTATAAAAATAATCCATTCAATTTTCTTCTTAAATATGTCAACTAATTACAAATAAGCCTTCCCAATTATTTAACTCTTATGAAGCCAGCAAATTAACCTGTAAGTATAGTGAATCTAAGGTTCTTGCAAACGTTCCAATACTATTTAAAAACTTGAAAATTTTTCTTACATGTTTTACTGTATCACAATTCTAAACCAATTACCCAATTTAAATTAGAACCACAAGGCTAATTTTTTGTGTATGCTAATTATCCTCAAAATGACGAATTTCTAAGTTTATATTAAAGAAGCAGAAAAAAAGATCAAACTCTTAAGTTTGAATTATCATCACCTCTATATTTAGTTCAAGTTCTTCCTGGGGTTAAAGACTCCCACTAAAGTAACAATGTCATCCCAAGAGAATTAAGATGACCTTTCCAAGAGAACGTCAACTTTACCTTCTTTTCAGAGCCCTAAGACTGAAATGATGGCAGGGATACCAGCTTCCAGACATCTAGGGTGATTTTCCCGACTACGGTGAGAGCCTTCTTTTATGTTAATAATATCTCTAAGTCCTCAAATCGATGATTTCAGAGTCCATTTCCACTGTTTTTGAGTTTCACTAGTTCTCGAGTCTGATTTGAATCTAGACTTTCCCTCCAGGTTGTATCATCCCTTGACTAGATTTACTGTTTGATTTTACTCTGAATTCTTTGCATAGTCTTCCTATTTGGAGGTTCTATAACTCTTATAGATATCATTAGCTGACATCAAGTTGGATTCTGCATAGTTGGATTCTCATGAGTCACTCAGTTCCATAAGTCACAGTTCTAAAGTCATCCTCGTGACATTATTTTGCATTATGTTATGTAAGTCAAGGAGGATATCAAGGTGATTCCATTAAGAATGCAAAGCCTATGAGGGGGAAAAGATAGAAAAGAAAAAAAAAAAATCACAGTACAATATGATAAGTGCTGTACCAAAATGTACCAAGTGCTACCAAAACACGGAGAAGAAAGGAACTGTGCCTGAAACACTGAAGCCATAAACAAGTCATTGCCAGGCACACTTTATACAAAGCTAGTAAGGCTGTCAGAGAGGAGCCTAAATTGGTCATCGAAATCCACTGTGCAGGCAAGAATCCAATGAGGTTTAACTGGAAGATATAAAAGAATTAAATGACAAAGTACTTACACCATCAAGCTGGTAAGTTCTATATATAGAGACAAGTTACTCTACTGGAATTTTAGAGGCAGAGAGGCCTTTATAAGATTAATGTAACTGTCTGTCATGTTTGAGGAAAGAAAAAGATTTAGAAAGGGAAAGTCGATGGCCCAGTCTTCCAGCTAATTTTTCTTAAGCCTGAGTCAAAGTTCTAGAACTTGGCAAAAAATGTACTTCTATTCTTACCTGCATAATCATCTCTGCATCATGATTAATAAACACTAAAAAATGCTGAGTCAAAAATCAGAACATGGTCTCTCAACATCAAAGCTGACAATGACAAAGTTAACACAACTTCACCAGGTAGGCCTGGGTTGTGGAGTGGTGTCCTGCCATATGTTAGGTTCCAGTGATATCACCACAGAATCAACTAGACTGAAGAGTTTAAACACAGAGTAAAAATGGTTTCAGACAACACAGCCTAATGGTGGACTGTTCAGAAACTCCCACTGCTTGGCTTATTTTTCACTTTTAGCTTTATATGATACACATTTCAATTGAAGTAAAATTATTTTGCTTCAATGGAGTTTTGAATAAATCCGAAACGTAACAACAAGCAGCATATTTGTGTTTACTATATGTCAGACAGAGTGACAAGCATTTTAAATGCTTTATCTCATTTAATTCCCATGACAATCCTATTATTTTCTTAATTTTCCAGATGGGGCTTAGATTAACCAATTGGCTCAAGATGCTGGTGGAAACAAAATTCAAAGCCAGGCAGATGGCTCAGACTCCAGAGTCCAATTCTTAAGCATTATCATTTATTGCTGAAGGCAAAGAAAAACAATGCCAGAGCTTACAAAAGGTACCTGCACAGAAAGCGAATGTCAGTTTTAAATGAACTCAGTGTGAAAATGTCTGACAAGTTCATAAACATACCTTATATCATACTAACCCAATATAACTCTAGCATCACCTCAGACCCAACGCCTATTTCAATTATGCAAGGTAATGAAGGACTGGCATATCATATAGGAAGATAACTTCTATGTTAGGAGGTAATGTTCACTGCTGCTGCTGAAGCTCTTCCTTTTGTTTTGGTGTGACTTTGGTCATCTTCAAATGCAAAGATTATCTTCCTCTAACCTCCATTTCACCATGGATAACTGGAAGCAGATTCTACATATGAATAAGAGGATGGAAAAGAATTGTCTTTTGAATAATCTCATTATGTTCTTCCAACCCCTCAGGATTTCAAAGTTTCTCTACATTCACACTCTCTACACTAGGACAGAATGAAAAGAAAGGGACAGTTGATATCTAAATAAGGCAGAGTGGACAAAGTACAGAAAATCCTATCCATGAATATGTAGTTCTTTGATCTATCCCTCTTAGTGAGTGAAAGCCTATTCTTGCATCCTGCTCTAGATGTTATGGCTGCTTTTGAACATTTGGGGATATTCTCCTAGCTGCCTTGCCTACATTCCCTTCAATGATCGGGTGAAGAATGAAACAGTAAATCTTCTGCTTGCCCTGTCAACTGGGGGATGGATTCATTGTTTGAAAGCCAGAGAACTAGAAAACAAATACTGTTTTGTGACTTGTCCAGATGGCTCCCTCTCACAGTACATTACCATCCCTAAAACATATAACTATACTTAACTAATGCTTAATATATAGTGTCATGTTGGAGCTTCTCAACAGAATTTGAGGTGGGGTCTCTATCATTGTTCTTACTGTACCGTGACTGAAAGCAATTAAGTCCTCCCGGGGCTTAGTCCTGGTGGCAAGCCCAGACCACCCAGTTCTCCTGATTGCCTCCTATCTCCGGCAATCTAAAAGCAGAGATGGTGAACTCCCAATTCGAGACTAGCTTACCCCACTACTCACCCGCTTCTGACCTCTTCTGAACCACGACCTACCCTTCCACTTCCCCTAGCACACTCCCTGACACGCAACAGGACGCATGGCACATGTGGATCGACTTCATTATCTCCCCACCTGAAACACCACAAGAAGTCAAACTCTCGGTCCTGGCGCTCCCATGCAGTCGTTACTAGGCCTGCATTTTCTGACCGAGGTAGGATTTACCCAAAATGTCGCAGTTCCCTTTTGCCTATCGCCACGGCACAGCCCCAGCAGTCTTACTTACCTCTTAATGGTAAGGCTTCGGAACAGTGGGTACCACGCAGAGAACTGACAGTGCAACACATGCTCCTTCTTCATCCTCCAGCTGCCGCCGCCGTCTCTCTGTCTCTCGCTCTCCTTCCAGCACCCTCCCGGAACTCTCTTCTCCCGTACCGGAAGTGCCCGCCGAACTATTTTGGCTCAAGGACTCTTCCGGTCCTTAAAGCAAGAAGTGGCAGAAAAGGGAGCAGAGGATGAGAATCGTGGGGCCTACTTTTAGTGTACACTCATACACGCAAAAACACACACCAACACAGAATTCTGATCCCAGAAGAGGAATTACAGAAGTATTGAGAAGGGAATTCTAATGAAAGTCCTTGGTTCCGCTTTCTCGCCTAGACGCGCGCTGCCCCGGAAGGTAATCATCTAAGGCTAGGTCACCGGCGGGGTGGGGCGGGGGGTGCTACGGATGCCGGGAAGGGGCAAGTGCACTTACTCTTATAACCACCAGGTGCGGCTGTCTCAAGCAGTGGCACCGGCATCTCTGGAGACTGCTCCCGCGGACTCGTGCTTTCTTCTTTCGTACCCCTTCCCAAAGGAGTACCCTTCCCTTCACCCCACACCTTGGAGTAGGTAACTGGGCGCCGGCCAATCACGTACAAGGTGTCTTTGGGGAAGAGGGAGGGAGTACATATGGAGCGTTGCGGGCAGCCACGCGCGCGCGCGCCTCCGGGTTCGCGTCCTGGGCAGCGAGGGGCGACCGCTGCGGAGGCGCGGAAAGGAGGGCAAGTTCAGAGGAAAACCAGGGACTGTGATGGAAGAGC